TTGGTTGGGGGGGGGGGGAAGGGAAAAAAAAGAACTCTCTAAAGGGTTTCTTTTTTCTATGTTGAGTTAAAAAGTACGGGAACTTTTTTTGTAAGTAAAAATCAGAATAAAACTGTAACAGTAAGGAAGAGGAAACAGACTTCCCGTTAGCGTCCTCATAAGTCTTCTTTTTTTTTGAAGTATTTTGCTAAGTTACAGGAATCTGAAATTTGAATTTGTAAACCGGTCAGATCTTTATGGTTCCGCCATGTAGTTTTTTTGAATAATTAAACTTGCCTAGTCAGGGCACTAGTTTCGGAGTCAGGCTCAGTTGGATTGTCCAAGGATTTTACGAAGCTTTTTACTTTTTATTTATTTATTTTGTTTGATTATTAGTTCGGCTTTAGTGAGACATAGGAGATAAGTTGAGGTAAGGCTTTTTAAATAAGGTTTTATGGTTACCAACCGGCTAAAGCTCGTTTTGGACTGCAGAACCATCTCTACGGCAAGCATCAATTCTCTCACTGAAACTACTGCTCTAGTTTTGTAGTGCTTTAAGTAGTTATTATCATTAATTGGAATTATGAAGTTGAATTCAATAGAAAGGCTGTGAAGTAAAGTTAGGGTGATGCGGTAGTTCTATGCAGTTAGTAACAGTAAACGGTGATTTTTTGCGATTGCTTTGGCCAGGGTGCTTTTGCATTTTTGCTAAGGGATTATTCTGTTTGTGAACAGATACTATGCACTTTGTTATAAGCAGAACGGCGAAAGGTGTCACTTGATCAGTTCGTAGCTTACTCCACGCCATAAATTGTTTTCATCAAATTTGTTCTTGAATTTGTTTGACTGTTATTTAGATTATGTGAAGTAATCGTTATTCCACAGCGATTTTTTCTAATAGATTTAATTAGTTAAATTTGGAAGTTTCTTGTACATACTGCTGGTCCCCCATTTTATCTTTTATTTCCTACTTTTATCTTTTAGATCTTTTCAAAAGTGCTGACTACCACGGTTTGAGGGGGAAGTTTTGTTAGTCTAATGCGGGTTTTACTTATGGTTCCGTTTATTTGTTTGGTTCTTTGAGTAGCGGCACAGATTTTTGGTTGCCGAGTGGTATAAAGTTGTAATTCCAACAAAAAGTTTTGTTTTGATTTGGGTGGGTTTTTTTGGGGTCATTCGCTTTTACAGCGAAAGTTAACAGAAGTATGCTTTTTTTGAAGCTCGCTGAGGTTTGTCTGGTGGTACCTAAGTAAAGAACTGATTTGCCAGTCACCAGTATTTATAGCTTTTTCTCAAATGGCGATAATGAAGAAGCTATAATTCTCTTTACAAATTCAGTAAGGTTACCTTGCTTTACGCATTGATTATAGTGATTAACCAGTGGCCAAGTGTATGCCTAAGCGATGTCCTTATGCGGCGGAGGTCGGCTCTGCAGGAGTTCATCATCGTTGTTTCCTTGTAAATGTATTGCGTTGGCATTGACAGCCTCAGCTACAATCTCATTTGCATTGCCTTTCACCTATCGCAGTGTCACGTCAAGCGTACATCCGAAACTGCTTGTGCGGCAGCCGGCCTCCCGTTCGATGTTTCGCAAGCAGCTTGAAAGGTCTGATTTTACTCAGTTATTTTTCAATTTTGTTTTTATTGAGCACTTTTCTCTTAGCTTATTCGTACTTTATAGCCGCAAAATTCGTTTATAGGAAAAATTGCATACTCCTGTTTATCCTTCTCGCCGATGTAGATTTGTAGTTCTTGATGACTTTAGAAATTAATATTTTTGAGTTGGTTAGTTATTATCCATTTATCAAAAGGCTTTAATCATATAAGGGTTAATTTTTTTTGCTTTTTGTGTTCCCAAATGTGATGGTTTTTTCTTTTTTTGAAATTTTAATCCAAACTAATTTTACTTCTGTATCTGTATTAATTGCAAGTATAATTTATAAATGTTTTAATGGTGGAGATTTAAAAGGTTAGCAGTCGTTTCTTAACGTTATTCTAGAATGACTTTTTTCGAAGTTCATTTTGAGTTTCTAGTCGGACTGGCAAAGAAGCAGTTACGAAAGCACTTCTGACGTTAGTAAAGTACCTCTGTTGCAGCCAGCAGTATTCTAACTGCATGTCTTTTAATACTGAATGATTTTAAAACGGATTTAGAATATATTTGTCGGAATTTCTACTAGTTACCTGCTGCGTTAACTTGGATAGTTGCTGTGACAATTTGCACTTCTACTTGCTTGGATATTTTTCTGATCTTCACCAAGTTTTTTTTGGAGTTTTTGCATTTATTAGGTATGCAAGTAGGTGATGAGCACAACGTAGGTGAGCACGGAGTGCAATGTTACGAGGCAGATAGAAAACAAATGGGTACTGGTATGCTACATTCATGCCTAAACAAGCTGTTTGACAAGAAGTCCAATGAGCGTTGTTTACGTATGGTGTGATTGCTTCCCATGTTTATTTCACGTTTTTTTCAGATGTTGGTATGATTTGTCCATGTTCTTCACAGTAATAGATAATATGCATTAGCTTCTTTTATTCTGTTTTTATTTTGGTAAAATGGGAATTCGAATATGGACTTGTGCTTTTTCTTACTTTTTTTCCTGATTTTTGGTGTTTGAGAGAGAGATAAGTTTCTTTTGTTGCGTTTTTTTACAACTGTTTTGTAGTTTCTCTCTTGCGGATCTTTGTTTGAGGTACAGCATGCGATTGTGGGACAAAAATATTGTAGGTTGAGTTGCGTTTTAAAGATACGTGCCCTGAAACTCTTTTTAGGGTATGGTTGAATTCGGCTCAGTTTAGTGTTTTATTTTGTCCTCAACGTCATTCATGGAATTGAAGTTTTAGAAAATTTAACTTGCACTCAACGGATGCTATAAAATTTTTTGAAGTTTTTATTTGTTTTCAGGAACTGCTATTATTTCTTTTTCTTTGAGAGGTACTTTCGTTTTTGAAGTTTTTCAAAGCTTTGTGAACATTCTGGTACTTTTTTTTTGCTTTCGTTCTTTAGCTTCTTGGTATTTTAAATGTGCAAAGTTGCAAACAGCCTGGAAGAGTTTACCTCTTTTTTGTTTACATTTAACTACCAATCTCTCGTGAAGCTGCAGTTTTCGTAATTTTTTTAGCTTTTTGCGGTGTATAAGAATTAAGTTCATTTTTATAGTCTTTGGTCTGGGGTTTGTCAGTTTTTTACTTTATATTTCTCTTTAAATGTTGTTTACTTTCGTTCTTTAACGATTATTTGTATAAGCGCTAAATTTCGATTAAAGCAACTGCATTTTACTGGCTTCACCTTGTGTTCGCTAATATTGGCTTTATTGACACTTTCAAGTTTAAGTGTTTTGTTTCGTACGTCATTGGAAAACTCGGTCTCGTTCGATTTGTGAAGAAGTGTTTTATGATTATACTTATTCTGTTTTTTCCTTGCTTTTATTTTTTATTTTTTTTGCCTTACGAGTTTTGCGTGGACGCTAAAGATATCTGTTTTAGTATTTTTATAGCCAGGAATTCACATTTTAAAATTTGGCAGGTATATTTTATAATTGCTAGATATCGAGCGTCACATTTTTGAATTGTGTGAAGTTAAGTTTTGCTCAAGCTTTAATCTGCTGCCAGTTGTTCCTTCAGAAAGATTATCTTTTTTTTTTTTTTTTCAAATTTAGGTGCTACGATTGAAATTTTAATTTGTTAGCGAACTAAATATTTTTTCGCAAGTTGAACTTCAGATAGTAGTGATGAAAGCCGTTCTCATTTTCCTCCTACTGTTTTTATAGAACTGTTTCTTTTAGGACGATTTTTTTGCTCACATAAGAAATATTTTGTTGATGATTGTTTCAGAAATTGGTCAGTAATAACGCTAGTTTAGATCAAAATTAGATACAATTAAGAGTCAGGATGAAAAAAAGGAATTTATTTTTGTTTTTGCATACTTCCTCCTTGATGGGATGTCATGTGGGATTTTTGGCAGTAATTATTGCTCTGGATTGTTATATAGGCATTTTTAACTTCATGTATGCGTTGTTTACAACCTATTTTAGGCAAACTTCAGCCGCTGAAAAGCAATGTCTACTTGTGCTGAGGGTTTTCTAGGTTTATGCTTGCTGGTTTTGTTCAAGAATGTTAATGTTTCTGAAGTCAATGAATCGTACGTCTTTGGTGGTGTTTTGTTGGCGAATTTTGTCTTGAACTCTCTCGTAACTGCATGCTGTGTGGTTTGGGCGTCTTAATTTACCACCTGGTGCTTTGCTAATCACTCTTCCTACTAACTTGCAACTTCCTTTTTGTTTGAGGTTGAGAAGTATAATACGTTTCCAAAAGCCGGTAACCATGTATTGTAAAATGGCTTTGGAAAATACTGAGGAGTCTTCAAAGAACTTAAGTGTTCGAAATTACTGATGCGGCTGAAAAGTCAAGTGAATACACCTTATTTTAATTGTTTTCTATTTTGCCTTTAAAATTTAAAATACTGGTCTTGCGTTTTGGACAATTTGTCGACTATGAGATTTAACTTATTTCACTCTTTCATCTGCACGTTTTTTTCATTTTGCGTAGGAGTTTTAAAAAGCAAAGAGTAGTGAGTGTGTTTCTATTTAGGTATACGTCTTCTACACTTGGACCGGGTCATCTGGTAGCTCCCACTTCATTTCGGGAAATGTACACGATTGAAGAACACGGATCGCCTTATTCTCTCGAGTATAGGGTTTTTTTCAGTAAGTTCCTTGTTATTTATAGGTAGTATGTAAATACTTTGAACTTTATGTTTAGAGGCCAGGAAATATGATAGTTTTTTAGTTGACAAAACTTAAATTACATAGTTTATATGCTCTTTGCATTTTAACAAATTTATCTTGCTTTTGTAGTAGAGGACTGGAAACTTCACATTAAAGGTAGGAACTTATCTTTAAAGAGTTTTCTAGCGTTGAAAAATGCGTATTACATTTTTTTGTAAGGTGAAGCAATCTAAACAGTATTATTCTTTTGGCTTTCTGGGAACCCATGAATTCACTGATTTTAAAACGTATAGATAGACTGGTTTCGATATTTGCATTAAAAAAGTGGTACGGGACATGATGTGAGGTGTAGAGTGCACCTCGGGATTTCTTTGGTCTCTCATTTGTTCTGCAGAATATTTATTCAACTTTTCATGCTTTTTTTGAACTGGCTGCATTGCTTTTGGTAGTTGATTAGAACATTCTAAGTATCAGATTAAAAAGCATATAAAATTGTAACTATAATTAGTGCAGTGGCAACTGTTGCAAAATTACTGTAAGGAAGTTAAATATGATAGAGGTCGGGAGTTAAGTGGTTTTGGCGGATTTAATTATTTGGGAGCAGGTGTTATTGTATTGTCTCAAAGGATCTTTTTCATAAAACTTTTGAGTAAACTGTCATCATTGGTTGAAGACATTGTTTATTTGTCCTGCGTTTGAAGCTGCTATAAATTACGTTAAAAAGAGTAGAAGAAGATGGTCTTTGCTGCGGTTCATGTTTCCTCTTTCAGAAGACTCGACCGGTTATATATCTCCGTGGCATGACATTCCCTTGTATGCTGATCGGGAGAATAAGATTTACAATATGGTTGTTGAAATTCCACGGTGGACGAACGCTAAAATGGAGGTACTTCCTTTTACAAATAACTGCTTTGATCATCTTTTAAAATAAAGAGTTGTTTTCAAAGGTTTTAACCGTTTCTTTACTTTTGAATTGGGGGTTTGACTCTGACCGATTTTTCACATCGCCTTTTTTTAAACAAAAACATTACTCTTCATTTTATGTTTGCCCTAAAAACTTTCTTTGACAAGTATTACCAGTTAAAAATCAAGTTCCAGATTACCCTTTTTTTTCAAGAAATTGAATATTATATGAGGCTGAATTTTTAGGAAATACAATTGTCAGAAAGGTGTTAGAGTGAGCCTTCTAAGAACCAATAAAAGTGTATAAAATGTATATTGCCGAATTAATGAACAGTTTTTTAGTGATCTGATGGCTTTGTTAAGGAGGTCACTCCTGTGCAGTTTTCACTGATCGCACTAATCTATTATCGTAAATTTTTTTATAGATAGCAACTAAAGAAGCAATGAATCCTATTCATCAGGATGTTAAAAAAGGTGTGCCACGTTTTGTTGATAACGTTTTTCCCCATCACGGTTACATCTGGAACTACGGCGCTTTACCTCAGGTCCAATAGTGAAGTTGATACTTTTATGGTGTATTATCGGTAGTGAGCTATTTTGAGTGTCTGTTTTTGTGGCCACAGGTCATCTAGCTGGATTGGTTGTAGTTTGTTTTAAAAATATTCGCGGGCCTGGTTAAATTGTTATTGCTTTTTCAAGAAACAAGTCTCTATCTTCATGTCATAGTGTTTAGTTAGGATGCTGACTTTAGTTCTTTCGTTCTTCTTATGAGCTGTTGTTTTTTAAGTGTTTTAGTTTTTAGACTTGGGAAGATCCGGGGCACGTCGACGAAGAAACCCAGACTAAAGGGGATAATGATCCAATTGACGTGATTGAAATTGGATCAAAGATATTTAGAAGAGGATCTGTTGTCCAAGTCTGTCCACATTTCTCTCAAACCTTTTGGTTCAAATAGCAGCATATTTAATCTGTCGTTCTGCTGTTCTTTGACATCGGAGGGTTTCCGAATTTATTGCGCGCAACAACTTTTATTTATTCTCAATACCGCACCATTCGAGTTAATTGGTTATAAAGTTTCAGGTGAAAGTCTTAGGGGTTATCTGTCTGGTTGACGACGGGGAGACAGACTGGAAGTTGTTGACGATCTCTGTGAGCGACCCTATTGCTAATGAATTAAATTCACTTGATGATGTCGAAAAACATTTTCCCGGGCTTATGAAAGTGAGCTTTTTTGTTACTTAAGAAATAATTTGATTATACGAGAAAGTAACGGACATTATGTCTAGGCAACACACGAATGGTTCAGGGTGTACAAAATCCCTGCCGGAAAAGCAGCAAACCACTTTGGATATGATGGGAAGTTCAAGAATGCTGACTTCGCTCATCAGGTACATTTTTTGATGCCTTTTAGCGCTTGCAGTTGAGAAGGGGTAGGAAAGATAAGTTTCTGGTTCTGCAACCACTTTTTTTTTTTTTTTTTTTTTTTTTTTTTTTTTT